GCTCCGAAATTTGAGCGTAACATGACGTCACTGACGTTCGGCGAAAGCTCTAATTCAATATCTATAGCCAGCGTCAGGAGAATATTTCTTTAACTGATTGCATCATTTTTACGCTGTTTTGCAATTTCACTAACGATCGTCCCATTCGGATTCCGACTACGATACCCTAATCTAGGTTTGATTTCCAGTTAGAATATCTTTGCTAACGATATTTGGGGTCCGTATGTATTTTGGTCTTGTCACGACGAACATAGAAACCATAGACTAGAGTAATTGAACGTCAAAAGATTATTTTATTAAGCACGTCATCAATATCCTATGCCACCATATACATATATATATATATATANAGCAAGAGCAGTGCTTCGCAGAATCTACCACCGGATCGGAAGCGCGACCCACTGAGAAGATCCGGCGAGAAACTCAGTGGGCTGTGTCTGTGGGTTAATTCGCTCGTCGAGCCCTTCGTCGCAAGCGACGGGTTCGGCGAGGACGGTGACCGGTGCTTGTATTGCCTAAAAGCACCGTTAATGGATCAGGAGGATCCGTGATGACGTGAATCGCCTCACGAAAACGAATGAATTTTTTAAACATATTTAATGAACTCAGATTCAGTTGCCTCTTAGTTAATTAGGTAAAGCCATTGTTATATAAATAAAACTCAAGTGTATTTTTATTTTTGGTATATTATAATAATTAAAACTAAACACTATGAGCTTCTATATATATTTCATTCTAAGCAGGCATTGAGTTCATTAAAATTCAATGTCTTAAAATAAATATAACCGATTTAAACAAACAGGAAGTTACATAAAGACATTATAGGCAATGCTTATTTATTACATGTGTACAAAACAGTGTCACCGTCAGTGATAGTACCATATTACAACACTATGTAATTTAGCTCCGAAATTTGAGCGTAACATGACGTCACTGACGTTCGGCGAAAGCTCTAATTCAATATCTATAGCCAGCGTCGGGAGAATATTTCTTTAACTGATTGCATCATTTTTACGCTGTTTTGCAATTTCACTAACGATCGTCCCATTCGGATTCCGACTACGATACCCTAATCTAGGTTTGATTTCCAGTTAGAATATCTTTGCTAACGATATTTGGGGTCCGTATGTATTTTGGTCTTGTCACGACGCACATAGAAACCATAGACTAGAGTAATTGAACGTCAAAAGGTTAATAAGTCGTCAATATCCTACGCCACCATATAAATTGTTTAGAAAAAGTTATGTTTTATTTAAGTTCATCTTTCTATGTAATTACTCGGGTTTTGCAATGTCGTAGCGATTTCGTTAAATAATGAACATTAGACACACAATAATTTAGTTGTTTCGAATCACGAGACAAAGCGAAGACCGCAATGAACTGGCGGATCTTCAACAGTCAACTAGAGCATGAACGCGGTTTCTCGTCAAGAAACATTTCTCAACAGCAGTAATTGTAGGATGTGAGTTCCTTAAAACAATGATTATGATATATTTTGTTTAAAAATGTATTTATTTATAAAATATAATATGCCCCATCGAAAATTTTACTAACAGTAAAGTCGAGCTTAAAAGAAAATCTGTGTAGTTTACATTTAAATCCAATATTTTTTAAGACCCACGTGTACGAAGAAAGCCGCTTATCTCTACTGTGACCTATTTCTTGTGCATTGCATTTCGTGTACATTGAAAGACTGTCCGCAAAGGAAGGAGTTCATAAACCAAATATATGTCACTAAAATTAATTACTTTTTATGTCGTATTGTGCAATTTCCTTTAGCCACAAAACAGCCACGCGTTCCGGTTTCAAGGGTACGACAATCACAATGTAATTCGACTTTGACATTATGTCACACGGTCGGTGGTGATGATCACGTGTGTGTGGTCCCCGTTAACAACTTAATCCTTTGACTGCTATGTAGGTTACCGGTGCCCTAAGCGGCGCACTGAAGTAATTATGTCGATTTCTGTTACTAAGCGTCTCGATTACCTAACTTTGCCTTCTTTTGTTTTCAATGTATGATTTAGTCTTTTGTCTCTTAGAAATAGATTAATTCTCAGTATCTTTGGATTCGTCTTTCCCAGAGTCTACTGGATATTGCGTTGTACAGAAAGGTTGTACCAAAAAACAAGGATGTTCTGGCTATTTTGACCGCAGAGCCCTAATAAATACGAAAGTTTACTCTTCAGACTTTCACTAACGTCTTGATGCAATATGAATTCAATAATCTCAAAACTAAAAACTTTGAACTTTTCTAATACTGAAAATTCTTAATATATATTTTTTTTCTGTGCCTGTGTTTGTCACTGAACTCCTCCTCCTCAACGGCTGGACCGATTTTTATGAAATTTTCTGCGTACCTTCAGGTGGATTCGAGAATGGTTTAGATTTACAAATCAGCCCGCCAGATGGCGCTGCAGTCGGTACCTAGGCTATTTACCTTTCCTAGAAATAATTTATATGGCAAAATAACGTTTGCCGGGCCAGCTAGTATTAATATAATTCTAGAAAATAAAGAAATTGGAAAGTTTTACATTTTTTATGCTACGATTTGTCATTTAATGCCTAATCTAGATTTTTAATGACTTACATTTGAATAAAACTAAAATAAAAAAAAACTCGATCCACTTTCCCTAGTAAATTATAATTAAAATAGCTTCTAAATTAGTGTTCCGTTACGAATAAAGAATTTTATGATTATGGGAAAATGGAAAATCCTGGTTGTGGGAATATCAAACGAGAAAAGCAAAAATGTATAGAAGCGGAACGAAATGTTGATAGCAAGAGTAATCATTAAAATATTTTCTCAGGAACAAAATACCACTATATAAATATTTCTTGTAATTTTTTTATTCTTGTACCTTCGAGAATCAGTACAATCGTAATAAAAAATAAATCTGTTTTTTTTTTTTAACTTTAAACTCTTTAGTGGCTGAAAAAGTTTGAATGTGATTTTCAGTTATGTATTATTGTACAGCGGTAGTTATCATACAATAGAATATAGTTAGTAATTGCCTGTATCGAGCAACTTTTTCGAGATAAGCTTGCATATACATATACGGGCTCCGAACAACAACGTTCGGCCCTCCTGGCTGAACCACACCACTACACCTTTTTTTTATTGCATAGAATGGTGGACGAACTCACAGCCCACCTGGTGTCAAGTGATTACCAGAACCCATAGACATATACAACGTAAATGCGCCACCCATCTTGAGATATAAGTTCTAAGATCTCAGTATATGTAGTTACAACGGCTGCCCCACCCATCAAACGCATTACTGCTTCACGTTAGAAATAGGCAGGGTGGTGGTACCTACCCGTGCGGACTCACAAAAGGTCCTACCACTAGTATAAAGACACCTGTCCTGGTGAAACTGGAAAAGGCATACAGGCCACCAGTAATCTTTCAATCATAAAAAACTACATTGGGACCGTCGGTCTTTCGAACAGTTATCCGCTAAGTGGAAAATCTTCGCTGTCGTTTCCTCCAAAAGTGTTATTGCTATTAACAGAAATGAGTTTCACCTAACAATAAGTCTTCATTTGTTAAAAAAAAGTCAGACAAAACCTTTTTTGAACGCAACTCAAACTTAGCACCAGGTGCGCTGTGCGTCCACCCATCTAAGCAATAAAAAAAATCGCCCCTAGCTATTCCCTAACAAGTCAAATCTACGTATTAATTATTGACCGCGAAGCATTCGTGAGATCTGGTCTGACAGTTAGCTGTATTCCAAGCTTCGATGACGAGCCAGACGAAATGTGGGCTCTTCTGATGGAATAATTACTTAAAGAAAACCTCCTTACGGAGGGAAAGAATCACCGATATTATATCAGAAAACGACCACGAACAGAAACGAATACAATTTGATTGTATGAAAATAAAATAATGAAAATTTTAACTAAAAGCGATGGCTGAATCCCCATTTCGCTTTGTAATTTTGATAACTAAACCACAAAAATACAGATCATGGAAATGTAAAATACAGAAAACATATTCCCGTTTTCAAGAACGTTCATAAATCAAAAGAATGATTATGATAATTAAATAAACACAGGAAGCTAAACAGGATGTTTTGTGTTTGAGAGAGACTAATAGTCGTCGTTAATGATGCCGTAAGTTTTAAAAATACAGCTTCTTTTTTTTATTTATAGATTGATGGTGTCGTGGTGTCTAAAGTATCACCACTTAATTTCTTCCCGTGGGTTTTAGTAACAGCGATTAAGCGAATCACCGGATCAATCATGCCTATTTCAACCGCGGAGCATTCATGTGTTCCGGCTTGAAGAACGCGATTGCAGTTGTACAATACTTTTGAGAAATCGACCTCACGTCTCGGCCGAGTGCCGGTATTTACATTATGCGTATGGATTCCAGTAACCGCTCAAAATCAAGTGGACCGTGAACTCGTTAATCCATCTAAGCAATAAAAGTATTGAACTGTACCATATCAAAGTATGTACGTTTTTAAGATGTAGGCATCGAAACCTACTTACTTGTTTTTTTATAAGTAGTTTAATGACACTTTTCTATAGCGTGGCCATTGTTAAAGGTTTTAAGTAAAGTCAATGCTCCAATAGCGAGTTAGTGCAACAATGCTCGATATATTCACGACAAAAACGTTCGACAACGCAGTCGTTTATGTGTTCGGCTCGTGTCATTCACCTGTCTAAGGAAATCTTCAATTGTATGCGCAAATCGATGCCATTAAAACAACATCTGTCCAATGATAAGATCTGAATTTAAATGAGCTACATACTTGGCAATTACACTATGTAAGCATTTTCAATGATTGCATTATATAAGCATAAATTATTTGCCTAAAAAAATAACATGTTTTATAACTTCGTCGAGATGCCCTTACACAAAATATCCCTTCTAATAAATACTCCAGTGGTCCACACTATTTTCCTAAAACTTCTTTGTGAAATGTTGAGTATTTCTCAGGAAAGAAAACTTGATATTCCGTATGACATTATTTATGTTAATTGATACTCACCGCTTCGGCACACTAATCCGACGTTGCCGGAACAGGTGATCCATTGTTCCTTTCAGCTTTGTCTTCCTCGGACTCTCCCACGCAAAGGTAAAAAAACTTTCACTCAATCCCAAGTGCTCTGGCGCATCCACCAAATATTATATAACGCGATTGTATTGTTTTTTTTTTTTAAATACTATGTCCACTTCACTTCACGTTTGTTTCTTTACACGGTTCAGTGAATTCGGGTCTTCTATCGCAACACAACTGGTAACCTGTTTGAAGGGAAATTTTGCGTTTTGTTTCAAAATGAAGTAGCGATTTTTCAGGAAATGGAAGTGTTCAACTAAGTGTTGTAATAAATTAATATTATGTAGAAAGGTTGAAATAATACGCTGAGGAAGCACAATACGTAGGTGTAACGTAATCATGAAGCGATGAGCAAGAGATTAATGTTTTGGGACTGCGGAGAAAGTGAACGCGTTACAATGCTCTGACAGACGCCGTTCTTCCCGCTACATTAGCATTAGAGCCGAGTTTAATATCAATGTCATGTACAAATGCTACGTTTTTGTTTTTATTCGCATAATCATTCACATTCACACAGCCTCTTCGTTATGTGATATTTAGCTTTCTCTATACATTAGAAAACAATGAGGCCTCCGTATCGATATTTTTTTTTACAATAATTCAAAGACTGTGCGTTCGGGGCTTTTAGGGTTCTTATAAATTTATTTATTCATTCTGTGTAACACGTTCGATGGTGGTCGAATGATTAACGTGTGTTATGAAAGCCCAACTTAATTTATGAGGGCCTATTATACAGATTAATGATGTACTTACTAAAATGCAACGTTATAATATTCAAATACTTTATATATGCACAACGAGTTTTATTTTAATTAATTTCACTCAATACATACTTAATTATAACTTTATAAATTAAACTGTAATATTACATTGCTTTGCACTGATTACAATTTAGGGAAGTGAAATATTATGTACGTTTTATATAAAAAACATATTATTCTGTTTTAAATTAAAATAGAAAAGTAAGGTAAATGACACATTACATCAAACAAATTTATACCAAAATATGGTATTTATTAAAACTTTCCCAATGTCGAACTACGAGTAATTGACGTACATACCGAACACAATTTGCAGTCACATCGACAGCAAAAAACGAATTATTTTTGCTGATATAGTTTATGTTATGAATTAAAACACACGCAAGAGATTCACGGACGATATCAAAGCACGCGTGACTTTCTAGCCGAGTGTTGGCGGGAGATAGCTGTGAGGAGCGTGCGGTCTCGCGGCCTTGTGGCTGAGCACTGTCTGTAACTACCACTTACCACTTACCAGCGAAGCACACCCCGCTTTTCTGAGCATCACTTTATTCTCGAATTCAAATCCCTTCAAAAACTCAATTTAAATTTTACGACAATTTCTATTTTTACAACGGATTTAGTTATGAGCTATGTTTGTATTATGTATGTAAAGGATTTTTTGAAAGTCATTCTCAACGGCTTCAACGTGCGGTTAATTCCAACATGCATCAAGGACCGTTGACAATACAATAATTTTATAACTTCGCTCTCATATCAGGACCAGTGTCGACAGGATTAAAAAAATAAATAAATGAATTGTTAGTTCAGTTTGCTATATCAGAGTTTTTTTTTAAATTTTATCTTTAAATTTTGAATCTAATTTGAACTTGGCTTCGTTAGTATTGTGCAGATACAGGTTCATATTAACCGCTTATGGGATCTAAATCTTTTTTTTTAAATAATTAGATTAAAAACGAATACCTTCGAATGTAGACGAGCATACGGTCCCGCCAATACTGGAGCTCACACTGTCCACAAGCAACTGTGAGTCTCACAGTTGCTTGTGGACAACAGTAATGGCAAGCAAGAGCACGGCAAATCAGAGTGCAGTCTGGAAGCCAAAGACAATGTACCATGTACGTTCATCTTTAGACATGAGGCCATTGAGGATCCGTGGCCCAATGGGTAAGATGCTTAAATCATAAAATGTGTTTTTTTTTAACCCTTTGACGGCTGTGGAGGTCAACAAAGAATTTGAATGTAAATATTATTAATCGTATCTTCCATATTAAGCTATGGGCATTTCTTGTTTGACATGACAACTATAATAAATCCAGTGACTAAACGAATAAATTTCTTTTAATTTTTTTATTATCTAATTTATATTCTTTAATATTTGTTATTATTGATATTATATTACGATATTAATGTTTATAAATCGCATGCACACATAAAACAAACAATACAAATTATATAACTACATGGTACTATTAAATTAGTACCTAAGCCTTAATAACTTTGTATCTATCGTATACGGTCATCTATCGAAAAACAATTTAAACTTAATTTATTCAAACAAATGCTTACCGCACAAAGCTATCCAGTTTCTCTTAAAACGTAACAAATACTAAGACGAATAGTATCTGGCTTTTAGGTCATGTTTATGATCAATGTCAAATGCGTTGGATTTAATCCGTTTGGACTATGATTGCGTGTCTACCGGCTTCGTTATACTCACGCTATACTCCATTAAGTAACAGATAAAAACAAATGAACTTCTTCAAAGCCGATCTGTAAGTCAGACGGTTATTGTTCATGTAAGCCGTTGTCCGTACCAGTTTCTTATATTGAGTACAGTGATCATGTCTTTGTTCTCTAGTTTTTTCGGTCTAACTACACGTGAAAATTGTAAACATGCACGTACTATAGTAGATAATCTGGGATAAATCTCACAAATGGTCATCTGGTCCCAAACTAAGTTATAGCACGGAATACATACCTACCTTATGTAAGTTTCAATATATAGATATAAACCATTGAGACACAGAGCAAGCAAACCCGTGCTTCACACGAATGTTTATCTGAGGTGGCAACCGAACCCACTAATCGGGGGCGTTAATTACTCTACCAAGTCAGTTACATAATGTGGTATTTACTAAATACATTAAAACAGAGACATAATTAAAATATGTAAAGCCTATTATTGATCGAAGGGTAAAGTTATTTTTCAAATATTTTAATTTGTCTTTAGGTCCCGCTGGTTAGTCGCTCGTTAATTTCGATTCAATCATATACTAGATTATTTACAGCGAGATTATGCACATACATATTTATCTAGAAGTCGTCGTGGCCTAAAGGACAAGACGTCCGTTGCATTCGTATCTAGAGATGCGTCGGCGTGTACCAATTTTTCTAATTAAATACGTACTTGACAAATGTTCACGATTGACTTCCACGGTGAAGAAATAACACCGTGTAATAAAAATTCGTCCGCAAGGGTAGGTACCACCACCCCGCCTATTTCTGCCGTGAAGCAGTAATGCGTTTCGGTTTGAAGGGTGGGGCAGCCGCTGTAACTGTACTGAGACCTTAGAACTTATATCTCAAGGTGGGTGGCGCATTTACGTTGTAGATGTATATGGGCTCTAGTAACCACTTAACACCGGATGGACTGTGAGCTCGTACACCCATCTAAGCAATAAAAAAAATTACCATTACCATATCACGTTCTTAAAAACTATCGTAAGAGTTAAATCGATACAGAGTACTTATATCAATGCTGCTTGAATTGCAATGATCGAATTAAAATCGCTTTCACTTAGCTTGGTTGAGTTGAAGATTTTAAAATAAGAGTAAGTATAGCTTAATGGAGATTAACAATATATTTGTTTAAGATTTAGTAAGATTCACGGTTTAAAATTCAAATATACATTTCCTATGGCTATGGCGTTTCTGAGCAAATGTTTTTTTTATTAGGTAATATAAACATATGTGTTACGCACTCCCTGTCCACCTTATCATAAGTGAAATAACCATAGACAGCACAAAGTGATTGCCAAAACTCACCTTGAGACTTAAATGAATTGCATAATCGCTACCCGACAGCCCCGCCATGAAAATTGAATGCAAAACCGCTTTGAGGAAGAAATTGTTAGAATTGCAGTACCTACTCGTACGGAACTAACAGGCGCCCTAAGTAACTACCAGTAACTAACAGGAACTAACTGGAGGCCCAATGGACCTTTCATAACAGGCACCCTATGAAAGGTCCATTGGGCCTCCAGTTCCTGTCAAATCTGAATACTCAGGAAGGTTACTCGATACTTCTTTTCCGGTCATCGCTCTCGTCGAACTCGGTGAGTAAATTAACCCACAGACACAGTCCCCTGAGTTTCTCGCCGATCTTCTCAGGGGGTCGCGTTTCCGATCTGGTGGTAGATTCTGCGAAGCACTGCTCTTGCTAGGGTTAGCGTTAGCAACTACATCAAGTTTGAGCCCCGTGAGCTCACCTACTAGTTAAGGTTACGCTGAAATGGTCTCTCAAGACCATCAGCTTAGGTAAGAATAAAATATACTTCTTTTATACGCTAATTAAAATGGCGTGTCATAAATAAATAAACCATAATTTCGTTCCTATTGATATTGCAACTGCTTTAAAAATGATTTATTGTATTCTGGTACATAGACAGACTTATTCACAGTTCATCTGATCACAGGTTTACAAACACATACCACACGATGAGCCTTCGTCTACCTGTGGCTCTACCATGAAATCTTATAGCAGGTCAACTTTTACCAGAATTTGACCTGTCCTGCTATTGCGTACCTTGAACGCGGTAAAAAACCAGCCAGCGAGCGACCATGTAACATTTCAGCACGCTGACGGGCTGATTTTTTACATTTAAACAGCTTTTATTCACTGAAATATGAAACCCTTTTATTTAAACTGTCTTGCTGTCAAAGCTTGCAGTTGACAAAAACCAACTTTTATTGAACTTAGTGAGAGTTTTTTAACAACCTCGATAGCGTAAAAGTTAACTCTAATTTGTAACGAGTTGGAGCGTTTGCCGCTAGGGGCGTTTTTCCAACTGCATACAGATTTGAGTTAACTTTTGCCGCTAGGGGCGTCGTTATTTGAAGAGCGTTGTTAGAGAGTCATTAAAGATAATGAGGATTACTGCCAAGCCATTCGACATACCCGATATAGTATAGAGATCGGTAACCGTACTCGTCGAACTCGACAAAGAGTTCGCCGTGCAACCTAACCCATGAATCAGCTCGCTGAGTTTCTCGCCGGATCTTCTCAGCGGGTCGCGATTCCGATCCGGTAGTAGATTCATTCGCGAAGCAGCTGCTCTTGAGCTGTTAGGTCTCCTTCGGAGGCGCTCGGGTAGCTGTTAGCAAATCCCACCACTCCTGGCTGNTCGGTAACCGTACTCGTCGAACTCGACAAAGAGTTCGCCGTGCAACCTAACCCATGAATCAGCTCGCTGAGTTTCTCGCCGGATCTTCTCAGCGGGTCGCGATTCCGATCCGGTAGTAGATTCATTCGCGAAGCAGCTGCTCTTGAGCTGTTAGGTCTCCTTCGGAGGCGCTCGGGTAGCTGTTAGCAAATCCCACCACTCCTGGCTGAGTCTTTGCTCGCCCACCTGTCCTGGTGAAACTGGAAAGGCCTCCGGACCACCAGTAATTCTTCAATCATAAAAAAAAAAAAAAATATAGAGATATAGAGACTATGTTTGAAGAATAAGATCATTAACCTATTTTGCGCTCCCGAAAAACTAAGTTCAATCCAGAGCTGGGAGATACGTGGCAAAACTCTTTTCGAATCCACTGAGTGAAGGCAGTGGCTCTAGTGACGATTGTTCGGTGGTGATAAGTGTCATAGTATGTCAGAAAAGAGATTATGGGATAATCTCAAGCAATTATTCAGAGCAAATATCAATTTCAGATTTAATATCTTTTAGTAAGGCATTTTTTTAAGAGCATGTAGTGCAATCGTAACTATTTCTCCCTCAAAGCAGTTATGCGAGCAGTTAAGCCTTATACGGTAGGCAGCGGCTTGGCTCTGCCCCTGGCGTTGCTGACATCCATGAGCAACGGTAACCACTCACCATCAGGCGGGCCGTATGCTCGTCTGCCTAAAAGGGCAATAAAAAAAAGCGTTCAGTTTTAAGGATGGGGCTGTGGGTAGCGATTCTAAAATTCAATTGAGAAATCGATTTATGGTCTCAAGGAGAGTGATTGTATCCACGTTGTGATGTGATGTACGCGGTAACTCCACTTAAAAAGTGAACTACAAGTACGTTTTTACATACATGTAGTAATATAATGAGACCACGTGGGCCACGTTATCTGGATAACCTATTAGCTGGGTGGACGAACTCACAGCCCTTCTGGTGTTAAGCTGTCACAGAGTACAATGGCTGTCTTAGCTTATAAAACAAAACGCATTACTGCTTCAAGACAAAAATAGGGAGATTGGTGGCATTTACACATGTACATATATGTTTTTACAGTTATTTAAAATAATTCATTCTACACTTAGATGTTTATTAAATTATGGTAAAACATTTTCGTTTCCAATAAATCTTAAAATTATCCTATAATAATATTATTATTCATTTAATCAAATTGAGATTTCTTATAAACTTACTATTATATAAAATAGTATAACATGTATGTGTGTAATTCCACTTAAACACTGATAAAATATAATATGTATAGTCACCAAATTACCTATTATTAAAAATTATGACAGAACCAACTAATATTGAATTTTCTTTCAACAAATTATTGAAATTTTACGGTTCTGACATAGTCATAACATCATAATTATTATCATTTGTGGGTATACCCATAAACTAAGCGACGTAAGTATGTATTTCATAATTATTTTTTTGTCTGTTAATTTGTTCAGCCATAATTTTCCATTGATAGAATATTACCACTAATTGAATCCATCATTATTTGGAAGCAAAAACAGAAACATTTTTTTAAATTCCTGATTATTCTTATTGTTTTCAACACTTAAACATTTTTAAATGCTAAATTTTAAACACTATGCAAAACACAATCAGAAGTAGCCCTTAGTATACAGACTAATTTAAATGATTTTATTTAGGCATGGTTTTTATTATCTATGCCACAAAAATTTAATCTGTATCCTGAAAATTAAGCAAAATATGTGAATATTATGTGTTTTCAAATTTTTCTTTTAAGTGTCAGATGTTGATAATAGTTTTCCCCATCCAATGTACACAAAAACTGTAGAGTAAGAGTACATGATTCCAAATTGTTCTCCTGGATCATATCGGTATCGCTTGGCACCAGTATCAGTATTTGATCTCTCAGGATGATTTAGGCCCAATTCTCCATTGCCATAACAACCAATTATCCGTGTATGAGGAAATGCGGCTCGGAAATATTTGAGTTCAATTTCATGCTTTTGATCACGACCAACACAGGACAATTTTAGTGCAATGCTATGCTCAAATTGTGGTACCATATTTGCAAACTGTAAATTTATTAAATCATCATTACACAATGAACATATTTTGTACAGCTCTTCCATCTTTAACTATATTTAGACATTGAATACATACCTCATTTATAGATTTTTGTATCCTTGCTTTAGCCCATTCAGAGGAGTTCAAAATAAGTGAAAATGAATCAAAATTACTTCTGTTCGAATCTTTGGGAACAAGGAATAATCCAACATTTACTAAGCTTCCACTTACAAATTCAACATTCTCATTATTACTCTTCACAATGTCAGCTATGCTTTTTGTATCATATATTACATCTTCGACAATACAACCACCAAGTGCATACGGGATATCAGGTTGTCTGTAAATAAAATCATCAACCAATTAAGACATTATCATCTAAACACAAACAAAATAACAACAACCTTTGTACATACACTTTTTTCAAATAATTCAAGAAGACAACTTCTTCCACTGAATGGAACAGGAAAGCCTCAGTGACGTAAGCCAAAACAGTTTTAAATATGTATTTTTTTTCCAGTTCATCAATAACATCATAGAATTTCTTTTGCATTTCTTCCACATTTCTGATACTAATGACTTTAAATTCAACATCTGGCATCATAGGTATATAAAGACAACTAATGAATGGATTTGGACGCAAGAACATTTTCTGTGTAATCTTAAACTCATACGTTGGTGATGACGGAAGTGACATGAATGAGATACAGTTACTTCTCACAGCCAACATACAGTTTTTGGGTGCACTCACATTGTTTTGCAATACATCCACCACTGAAATATTAACAACAAATCAGTATATCTTAGAATTAAAGTTAATTATACCTGAATTATGATAATACATACTAGTGTGTTCATAAGAGCATGGTGGGCTGCATGGATATGGTGAAATTGACCTACATTTGTGTGACATATTAAAGCCCATTTCATTTGCAAAGGTTAAAACTGCTAACGGCTCATTGTATAAAATTCCAGATTGCTTGAACTTCATGATACTTTTTGATGAGGCATGTTGTAGTGCTATGACGCAATCAGCAGGCCCCTGTTGCTCTTTCAGTAGTGCTAATACAGCAGAATGCCACAACGAACATACATGCTTGCATATCATTTTTTCCTGCCACGACAAAACTCTTAATATTCGTTTAACTATAACATAATTGTTCATAACTTTCTCTACCAAGTCGTTGTCGCATGTTATAAGATTAACATCTCTTTGCAACTCTCTTTTATCGACATATGCAGCTATATTTTTAGGTAAAGATAACTTTACACATTTCAAATCATCTGATGATGAGAGGCTGCTGTCATCATTGTCTGCCTCCTCTTCAAATGTTGAAGTTTTTGGATTTTCTGCCATTTTTACATTTCAGTTACAATCTGATCATCAGAACCTGCTATGGGATTACCTTTTAGAAGTGCCAGTATGAAGCAATAAAGGTAAATAAAGAAAGATACTAAATAATATCCTATATAGATCATTAGATCCCTTAGATGTTTCCGAAGCTGTCCACGGTTCAGAATCTCTGCTGGGTCATACTTTCCAAGATTACCTTGAGGTATCGTAAAATATTCATATGTTAGCCATATAAACAAGGGTAAATTGAGGAAAAACAATACAAGTTGCCCATGTGTCACCAATAAGAAGGTAATTAAAGTGTGAGCAATATACTTTGGCACCAACCAGTAATTCAGTTTATCACAGCATTCTTGGGCATTTAGGTAATCACACTCTAAATCAGACAACGTTATTATGTAATAAATTAATAGAAATAATACAGCACCAGTGTCAATTAAACACAGAGAGAAAAGTACTGTTTCGGCTAATATCATCACGCAGAAATACGAGTTAGTTCAATATCGATTTAGCAATACACCATACAATTAATTGCTCTTACACAAAATTATCACCGGAGTAATGTACTAAAATTACACAAAATAATAATAACTACTACAGTAACACAAAAATCTTAATTTTAGAAACCACTGATTCATTGGAGTCATGTATCCATAATCACCAAAACGACTCATGGATTCAATTGCACAAACATATTCCAATTCCAATTATTTGCCTTCACTTGTAGACTACAACAATGTAGGTAGTAGGTACGGTATCAAATCCCGAGTCGGACGGAATGTTGCTATTACTAGGTATTTAGAGGAATTAATTGTAGCAAATAGCAATGGAATATCAAAATAGTAAGTACGGTACATACATACATACATACATAAATGTGTACCTACTTAAGTGTATAATCTATGGTACCTACATAAGTCAAAGTAGATTAATTCTATTTGAAAGTAGTAGTAGTTTTATTTTTCCAAATGGAAAGGCAAAAGTATCACACCATACAGCCTAATCTTTTATATTATATATATATATATATTTATATTATATTTATATTTTTTATGAAAGGAAATGAATTGAAATGAGATGAGATGTTATGATATGGGATATTTTTGTGAAAAATGATAATATGGAGTGAAATTAAATGAATATGATTAATTTGAGACATTAATCAACTGGGATGAAATTAAATGAAATGAGAAGAGATGAAACATAATCTCAGTAAAATGGTGGTCGTTTACTGAGATTTTTTTAGTCGACTTTTTGGAGGATCCCGAGAAGTTACATCCAACGGCTTTGTATCATTTTCCCACATTTGTGCACTTTCGCAGATATTAAACAGTTAATAAACCACCGTTATTACACATTTAAACCTGATGAAACACTAAATAGACAAAATTTAACAAATCGCACAACATCACACCTCGCGTTCCCGCCAAAAAGTCAAAAAGCCAAAGCGCTGTATGTCAACTACAATTATTGGTTGTTTTCCAATTACAGCACAAGAGCGCACTATGCGGCATAATGCTCAACTAAGCTTCAGCATAATTCGGCATTGTGCCTCACTGAGTCGCATTATGTTGGAAAACTACCATAATTTTAAGTTTTTAAAAGTGATTTTATGACTTGGTAGCTAAGACCTTTAAGTCATGCTTATTTTAATTTATATTCTTATTTTTATGAAAAATGATGTCGAGTGAAATGAAATGAAGATGATTAATTTGAGACATTTATCAAAGTGTTCAGTTTGTTGTTTCTCCGCCTTGTTTACAGATAAAGTTCTTGCAACCATGGTTTTAATGCACCATATAAATGATCTATGGGTTGCATTATCTTGTGAGATCCGCCTTATAACAAGCTGCTACTCTACATAACGCATACGTTAAGTTATGATTTATGCAAGTAAAGTGTTCGCTTACGCGGCCCGCACCCATCATAACACTTCAGATCATCGAATCTCTTTTCACAGGATAGCCGTCGGAGCAACGTTGTTTGTAAGGATGAAAATCTTCACGGCGACCTTATATTAAAATCAAATCAACACGCATGTATTTATAATCTTCAAACTCAATAAGCAGTGCGGTGGTACCTACAGGTCCAGTCTTACACAATACCACCAGTATGAACTATGGGCGACGGTGGATGAAGCAACGACTTTCCCGTCACATACCTATTTAATCAAAAAGTAAACAGTGATGCACGACCTATGTTAACCTTTGTGTGCCACTTTATTATTTACTATACTAATGGGCATAAACAGTAGAATCATGTGTGGAGACTGAAGAAAACAATATTTGTCAAAACTTTTTATTTAACGTTCTTTCCTTAAACTAGAAAAGGCTTAGTATTTATGTACAAGGTTTGATTACAGGGGCAAGGTAAAAAAACTATCCAGTTACACTACAGATCCGACTCCTGTCATCTTATCACATCATTATTATTTTTATACATAAATTATTTTTGAATACTAGCTCTGTATCGTATTATTAAGGCTCAAAGCCCATTTTTAATTCTAAGCACTAATTTAATGAAGAAATTGTACAAACACATTTATGGGGTTGAAAGCGTTACAATGAAGCCAATTTGTTTCTTTACGTAAATTGGTTACATTTCAGAGAGCAATGCAATGAATAATAATAAATAAACAATTAGTATGTTATCACTTCGAACTTATAATTATAAAACAGATATTAAACTCTCCTAACATAATCACGAGTTAAATAATTAATATAAAGTATACTTATCAAACATCTCACTTAGCAGATAATGTAGGGAAAATACATCATTTATGATGCCTTACATAAGCAGTTATTATCAAATAAATAATATAACAAACACGGTATTCTCGACCTAAAGATCATAGTAAAATTATTATTATGGAACATATTCATGTTGTAAGCCAATAAATAAATAGAACATTAGAATTATTGGCTAATTTTATGGATATTATAATTTAGATAATGAGCAAATAGATTTTCGTTATATAGTCTTGGTATCATTTTGTTTTAATATTTACTTAGATAATGGAATACAACTTAAAATAAAACGATCTTTTGACGATCAGACGTGTTAGTTTCAATGCATTAAAATTATAAAATGATGTGATGACTTGACTCGGCTTCAGACTATAGATACAGCGCAACACATGCTCCACCCGGATGCTTTCTATAATTTTATTAATATTAATTCGATATTAAATCTTTATAGCACCAATTTATATGCAAACGCAATTCATATTGTTTCCATCACGAAAGCATGCAGTAGCATCCCTAGCAAGTAAGCAGATAGATCTGATAACAAGCCATATAAATATAATATACAAGTTTAATTGCAGTTGATCAACTAACAGTGACACATATGTTCAACATACAAGTTCTTAAATTTCTTATTTTTCATGTTCCTATGCGGAGTCATTTTTATGTTAAGTTTGGTGCGGCTACATTTTAGCTCAAAGTTCGCATCGAGACACTGCGATATAAAATTACGCGCGTTCGATCTACAGTAAAGTTCAGGGCTTAACTTTTTTTTTATTGTTTAGATGGATGGACGAGCTCACTGCCCACCTGGTGTTAAGTGGTTACTGGAGCCCATAGACATCTAGAACGTAAATATAAGTTCTAAGATCTCAGTATAGTTACAACGACTGCCCTACCCTTCAGACCGAAACGCATTACTGCTTCACGGCAGAAATAGGCAGGGCGGTGGTACCTACCCGCGCGGACTCACAAGTCCTACCACCACCTAACTGACTTCTCACTAAATTATCTAACTTTGCATTGCTTTACGTGCGAATATTTATGGGAGCAAGTCGCTGAAAGTAATTAGCTGTTTGCTAAATTCACAATAGTGAATGACTCGTGCTTTTTATAACAATATACGAGTTTATGTAGAAACTGCAGTTTCAAAGTTTACCGCGACATAATTTTTGGAATCGCGACAGACTATTCTTAATCGACCGAACAGATTGGGACCTGACCAACCAAACGTAACAATGCAAACTTTCAATGAGTCTCACTAATGTAGCCACAACATTAACAATTATATAGTATTCATAAAATTAGGTTAATTATTGTATAAAAAAATAATTTACATAGAGCTTATGTATGCGGTATTCTCTAAATATATTTTTACACTTATTCCGCCACAGATTTAATTGACACAAATGATGCAGGAGTAATCTGTGTCCATTTTTCGTTGTAGCAACAAGTATTCAAAAATCAAATAACATAAATGCAAAAATGGCAATATTCCTTAGCATTACTGATCTCACGCCGACAAAGCAGTAGTTAACGCAAGATAAAACCAATGGATGCAGATACAAAACACATTAGTGAAAACACTCACACATTCTTCTAGTTATGAACAAATTCTTAAGACAGTACAATCGAGTTGTAAATGATAAATAATAAATAGTCCACTCCAACAATTGCGCAAACATTCCGAATACACAGTTCCTTGTTTGATTTAAGTTCACTGCACAACTACTGGATAAATACAAGGTATAAAACAGCAACTTATTACGACGCACCTAGCCTACGTTTTAGACAAATTGGAATGATACATTTTCAAGAATGTTATGTTGATATAAATCTATAAGAATTAGGGAAACTCAAATTAACGAAAACCAAGTTTCGTATAAGCTTTTATGCTACACTTACATAAAGAAATATAATAGTATAATTTAACAAGAACTTAGGTATGAGCGGAGTGTCAGNAACAGCAACTTATTACGACGCACCTAGCCTACGTTTTAGACAAATTGGAATGATACATTTTCAAGAATGTTATGTTGATATAAATCTATAAGAATTAGGGAAACTCAAATTAACGAAAACCAAGTTTCGTATAAGCTTTTATGCTACACTTACATAAAGAAATATAATAGTATAATTTAACAAGAACTTAGGTATGAGCGGAGTGTCAGACAAGTGATAGTGAACCAATGTTTGCTCAACTGTTGGAGTGTTGGGAGTTGCCCCCCTGAATAAACTAATGAATTCATAACTAACATTGTTCCCAAGCTGGTCCCACCCATGACGATGGCTTGTCAATGTGCTCTTTGTTCACTTTTTTTTTTCAGTTAAACGCATTTTTTTTTGAGTGATGAACAAAATCTATATTTGAAGCACTGTAAGGCGACTGTGCTTTTTAGCACTTTCAACAAGACTGGAATGTCACTTATTTACTGGGAAATAGCTATCTAAGTATTCAAGATAGCATTTTATTTGATTTCAATAAATAGACACAACACCAAACTAAACATGAGAAATCTTATAAGCTCTGCGCAAGTCAATTCAAGATACGACAGGTCGAAACGTTAGTGTGCCTATAAAGATTTCCTATGACGATTTTCCCCTAAGTTTTATAGTCATCGGGCGGAATGCAGATTTCCACAACTATGTTGAGTATTATTAATTTCAATATATACACAAGTAAATATGCTATAAATATAAAATAAAATGAACTTATTACATACAGATGAGCCAAGTATGCGCGACGATCCCGGTCGGCGCGCGTCAAGTGACACGAATGAAACATTTCAACTACTATCTAGCGACACGAGAGCGTTCGTGCCGACGTTAAGTACAAACACCAATAACTTTATTCAGAGTCTCGTTGACCGCGAACACTTTGTGTCGCGCGCACAGAACAACGTCTACGTTCGGGTCCCCCCGCTGATCGAGTGACGGACGGCGCGGAGCCGCGGGTGGGGGGCGGGGGGTCAGGTGGCGTCGTACTCGATGCGCTCCCACGAGTAGTGCTTGTGGGCGGGGCGCGGCGCCGGGCGGGACAGCACGCCGCCCAGCAGCGGGTCGCACTGCGGCACGTGCCCGCGACCGAACATGTTGGGGATCATCTCCGTGTCCATGTAGTCGTAGCCCTCGCTGTCCATCGCGGCGCTCGGCCCGATGTCGATGCCGCACTCCTTGAGGTCCAGCTCGCACGGTCGCCTCTCGAAGCTGTCGTGGTGGTGGTGCTCGTCGTGAGGAAACGACGGCAGCGACAAGTCATCCATGTAATCGAAGCCGGTCCGGACATGATCGAGGATGTCGACGCTGGCCAGGGGAGTCTCGACCGTTCTCTCAGATTGGTCTTCTCCGACGTCCATCGGGACGTGAGAGCCGTCGTCTGTCGCGCCGGAAAGAAGACTTTCGAAGAAGTCGTCGTCGGCGCCGTTCGGATCGGAAACGAAATCCGGATGGAAGTCTCCAGTGTTCAAGATGTCGACGCCGAGATCCGCATCGATGTCCGGGGCCCGCCGCTCTCCGTTACATCTTTCGTCAGACTGTACGGGATGAAGATCGACGTGATTCATTATTTCATTTTGAATGTCGTCGAGTTCTCTTTGCAGTTCGTCCGCGGCGAGTGAATCTCGCACGTGCGTGTCGCCGAGAAGGTCATCGGTTAGTACCTCGTGAGGTGAAAACGAATCATTAGATGTCGTATATCCCACATCCACGACTGGAGCGACGACCCCCGCGTCGCCTACGGCCGAAGGTGGTAATTCACCGTTCTCTACTAAAATTTCAAGCACGTCATCCATAATCTGACTTTCCTCGTTATGATCGTGCGGGGAGGACACGTGCGGCGGCGGGGGCGGCGGGGGAGGTGGTGGCGGAGGAGGAGGAGGTGCCAGTCGCTCCGGTTCATAATGCGTCGTCGGAAGTATCGCTATGGGTACCACCTTTACGCCGTTCAGTATGTATGCAGGATTTGCAGGTTTTTGAAGTGTAGAATCGACAGTTGTGTCAAGATTCGGAGCGGGTGGAGTCATTGTGAAGAGCCGTACGTATTGAGGCTGGGGTGGTGGTGGCGGGGATTGTTGCAGAGCATCCAGTTTGGCACGGAGCTGCGTTACACAAAGATGCGCCTGCAGTAGACGTCGACCCTGATCACTGGCGGCCGCGCCCGCTGCCTCGCGTCGCACCGCTTCCAGCTGTTGGCGCGACACCTCTAGTTTACGTTCGAGCTCCTCGATTTGACGGCGTTGCGACTGAACGATATCTTCTTGGGGTTCGATCTTGATTCGAGGGTCCGGAGACGCAATGGAAACCATTGAAGCTACAGAAGGCACCGATGCGACGGATACCGGTGACTTCGGAGCCTCTTCCTGTTTCTCGACGAGGAAGGGCCTCAATCGATCTATTAGCTGTGGCTTTGGGCCGGACACTCGGAGGTTCCGTCGCTTACATTCGGCCCGGAGATCCGACACTTTCATATCTTCAAATCGCGAGGCGACGGGTAGGGAGGGGGACAGTGACGAGAGCGCGGAGGGGGGCGCCGGCGGCAGCGGGGGCGGGGGAGGCGCGGGCAGCACGTCGGAGCAGTCTGACGTCACGGACGCGGTTGACGGCGCTGGAGACGCGGGCAACATTAGCTGTAAGAGAAGCTGTTGCTGTTGCAGTAAAAGTTCATATGGGGTCTCGACCGTTCCGGGCGGTGAAGACGCTTTTTGTGCGTTCGGGGGCCCTTTATATTCATGAAATTTAAATCGAGCCTTTGGTTGTTGTTTTTGTTTATTTTTCTTTCGATTTTTTTCCTTGCCAGGAGCAGGGTGCTGCGGAGGCGAGGTCACGCTTATGGGTGAGAGCGTGGAAGGAGGTGAGGGTGAAGGTGATACTTCATCGGGCGGTCCACAGTACGAGGAAGGATGTTGGGGTCGGCCGGAAGCGCCCTCGCTGGTCGCTTTAAATGCGAGTATTCCACTTTTTACTGCAGTTTCTATATTCTCCTCAGTGTGAAGTATGTTCTTCTTGATGAGCTCCAAAGGACCAGGTCTGTGTGAAAGCTGGTCATTGAGTTGATCCGCTAATCGTGCTTTTTTCAGCATCCTTTGTTTTTCAGCCAAACTCGGATCCACATGGCTTTCCTGGAAAAAAGTTAACACTTTAACATTAGCAACTACCAATTCTACCAATCATCAGTTTCGTAAACATTATCAACTGTCTCATTTTATAGATTTATAGAGTCATCTATCTGTCACAACAGGAGTCAAGCAATGGCACTTATAATACTTTCAAGTAAAAGAGTTTTTTCTCAATATGATAAGTATACAGTTAATGAAATGTTAATACTTTCAAAATAAATCCCGACAACGAGACCAGCGATCCTTAATAAATACAAAATTATGAAATATAACACATACTTGTTCCAAAATGTGTCTCCTTTCTAATTCTTGACGATCTGGTCGCCGTTGGATTTTTGCTTTCAGCAAATCGCCTGTTTTGGCTCTCTCTAGTTGCTTGCATTGTTCAAAATACGCCGGCGGAGTTTTTAATGCTGAAAAACAAAAAAGGTTACATTTATATGTATTTTACAAACAGTTTTTTTTTTTTAATAAATCCAAAAACTTATGTTTTCCTATTTTCGATGTAATAAACAGCCGAACGTGCTTTCAATTATCAGTTGTTTATTCCGCTGTCCTAAGAATTACGCCTGCCGTAAAACGTACTAAGAATTGTAATCGTAAATATTTTTCATCGTTTGAATGCGCTATAAATTGAGAACGCATAAACACTTTCAAAGTTCGTAACAACCGAATCAGCCTATCTTCGAATGATTAACTGTTAGTACTTACGGGGCATTATTCCTTGCGCTACGAGCTGGTTGATGGGCCGGCGCATCATCAGCTTCACTTTCAACGCTGCAGAAATACATTAATTATAAACAATCAAAACATTATTCGATTACGAGTATTATAGACGGGTGACGTTATTTGATTTATTACATTTTCCTCGACAATAATTTTCCTGATCATACTTAATTCGAAGTATCATTCACTGTAGCGTGTGCGTTAGTTGGCCAATAATAAGACACGACAACCATACCGGGTGTCCCGATCGACTTATGCATACAATGGGCACTGATTGAACATCAGACATGTGGTCGTCAAAAATAGTGTGTTATGACGCCAGGTGACGAACTTGACGTAGCGTATCGTTCACGGGCGCCGACGTGATCGATGCGTCGATCGGTGCACAAATTATATCGATCGAGCCGGTCTCGGCTTTAGGGCGTAGGCGCGAATGGAGTTCCTATACATTTGTTTTTGTGGCGGGTAACAGCGAACGATGGGCGGACAACGCTGGCCAGTTGCCAACATAAATAAACACTGCACAAGGAAACTAGTGTTATGCCGCGACCGTATTACAGACGAAACATTCACTACCACTGGGCCGAATATTGTGGGTTACTGGGCGTCTTTGCATGCGCCCGCGTTCACGCCGCACGCAAATGTCGCACTATATCGGAAAACAATGTGAACGAGGGACATGCAAACACTTTATTATTTTTTATTCATATTGCAAGCCGGAGTCAGAGAGCATTACCGGATACAACGATTCTTTAGGCATACTAATTGTATTGCAGCCTTGTTCTATACTAGTGTTAAAGTGAATTAGACATTCATTGCATTACACACAATACAAATGGTTTCCCTTTTATTATTTAACCAACGTAATTATTGAATTGATCTGTTGATCCTAGGGGTACACTTTTTTAGTTTAGTTAATTCAGTTAATAACTGCCTATGCGTAAGTAAGATTAACGTCCGTAACGTAAGATTTTTATTAGTAATGCACACAGTGTACGACTTAACTTTGTAATAACGTACAAAACATAACATATTTTTTATCATTCATTGACCACGATCTCAGAGCTTTCGTTTGCGCATTTCACTAACTCTTATGCAAACAACCGTGAATGAAGTGTACCACAATAAGTTCGCACGTTACCGAATGACCGTGGGCTGTTGCGAAACCTCCAGTTTTATTTTCTTTATACCTCGACTCGAACTTAAAATTAATATTTTTATAATAATTCCTATCCGGTGTCCCTTTTTTTCCTACCTAAGCTGATACCTTGAGAGACTATATCAGCGTCGCCTTAACTAGTAGGTGAGCTCACGGGGCTCAAACCTGATGACGTTGCTAACACGAACCCTAGCAAGAGCCGTGCTTCGCAGAATCTACCACCGGATCGGAAACGCGACCCACTGAGAAGATCCAGCGAGAAACTCAGTGGGCTGTGTCTGAGGATTAATTTACTCGTCGAGCCCTTCGTCACAAGCGACGGCTTCGACGAGAACGATGACCGGTGCTTGACCGGTGTCCCACGACACCACACAACTTTTTTTTTTATGTTAAGCGCGATCTGCGTGTAATAAGGCGGTTCTCACATTCTTTATGCTTCCCCATGGCAGGCTGGAGCGGGCTGTCGTCGACGATGACTTTAGGCGGCGACACGCGCGGCGAGCTGGACGGCTCGCTGGCGCCGCTGCTGCTCGCCTGCCGTCCAGCCATCTCCTCCGCACCAGAGCTGCATCAGCGCAATAACATCTATATATTAATACGTGAACCAAAAAATTGCACCCCTTTTTATAAAAATTATGCGGACGGAGGAGTACGAAATTTCCCACACTTATCTATACTAATATTATAAAGCTGAAGAGTTTGTTTGTTTGAACGCGTTAATCTCAGGAACTACTGGTCTGATTTCAAAATTGAAAAATTCTTTCAGAGTTAGATAGCCCATTTATCGAGGAAAGCTTATAGGCTGTTTTACATCACGCTAAGATCAATGCAAGTCGATTAAAAAGCGCGATTTTGGTAAAATAACTCTTTAATATTCTATTATTCAAAAATATTTTCACTTTCTACGTAAATAAAGAGGCGGGTAAAATTTAGCGTCATGCCAAAGTAACTATTCCACGCGGACAAAGTCGCGGGCAAAAGCTAGTAGAGAATATAGAGAAGGAGTGCAGAACGTTAATATATTTTTTTTAAATTATGCAAGAAAAATACATTAAATCAATAAATAAATTAAGTATTGTTTGTCTTTATTAATATTTGTTCAAAGTGTAGTCTTGACGAAATCTGTGATAATAGAAGTATAACAGTATACAGACCTATAATTTCAATTAATTATAGTCGAATTTCAACTACCGGGGGCCCACTAGTTCAATTAATTCTCGGTGTATCTAAAACGAAATTCGTTTACGTTCCATTTTGGTTTTGGTAGCATGTTTACGCATCAAAAAACATTCTTGGTTGATGAGTTCATGTTATATATTGGTTATGATTATGTGATTCTCTTCACTTTGCTTTATGGGCCAAATAAAGCGGTATTATTAGCTCCTGCTATTTAGTGAAGCTCCAACATTGTACATCAATTTTAAGCCCTTTTATCGGCTTAAATAGGTCAGGCCATATACATATATAACAGAAAATTTCAACGTAATTTACAATTACTTTAAGACGGCTGATGACCTTTCACATTTGCACGCGTATCGATCAGCACGCAGTAATTTTATTACATTAACTTAATATATTAAATTATCAATATTAAAAAAAAAGCTTAGTATTTGATGCGTGATTTTTACCTATATTTAATCTATATTAACTTATTAAACTTTGTTATTTGCAGAAGGTTCAACGGTCACTAAGGACCAAAGATACCACAGTTTAAACAATTTTCAATTTGTAGCCAAAATAGTCAGGATTGTGATGATAAATTGCGGCACAATTTCACATTACTCCTGCCATCAAAAACAAACACTCGGTAAATGTTGCCGGTTCGATTTTTATCTTTCACCGTGCAAATTATTTATGAAGACGTACAAGTTACGTATTTATGTAGTAAAAATCTTTAGGTTTCCGATTAGATTCATCGACCGTCTTACCTATTATGCTTAGATATAATTTCATTTGATAAATAAGAATATCATGCCATGCAATAGCCATGACAAATAGTTAAGAAGTATTTCAATTTATTTTTATTATTAATCTTTGAAATAAGAGAATCGTGTTTAGACAAGTTATTTAATAACAGTCAACACATTGTTAACATTAGAATAAAGCAATTCATTTGTTTATACGACGCAGTATTACGAAGCATATTAATACGAGAAAATAAGAGGCGTAGTAGTTTGTATTCTAGTAGTAGTAGAACCGACCTGAACGTGTCGTCTGAGGGCGGCGTGGGCGGGGTGTGAGGCGGCGAGACCGGCGAGGCTGCGCGGCTGCGGTCGCGACGCTGCTGTGGTTTGAACCACTCGGGGTATATCGCGCTCAGGGTCTCCACCAGGTCGTGGTCGAGTGTCACGCGCCAGGACACGCGCCCGTCCGAGCCCTCCGAGCCCTCGCCTCCACCGCACGACGATCGGCTCTCTTTCAAATCAAATATATAATTAATACGTGAAGCAAAAACTTGGTAAACTTTTTACTGGTGGTAGGACCCCTTGTGAGTCCGCACGGGTAGGTACCACCACCCTGCCTATTTCTGTCGTGAAGCAGTAATGTATTTCGGTTTGAAGGGTGGGGCAGCCGTTGTAACTATACTGAGACCTTAGAACTTATATCTCAAGGTGTGTGGCGCATTTACGTTGTAGATGTCTATGGGCTCCAGTAACCACTTAACACCAGGTGGGCTGTGAGCTCGTCCAACCATCTAAGCAATTAAAAAATTAAAAATAAAACTAGGTACCCGTTTTTACGAAAATTGCGCGGAGGGAGGAGAATGAAATTTCCCACACTTATAGAAAATATAGAGGAGTGCAGAATGTTAATTTTATTTTTTTATTCTTCATAAAAAATACATTAAATCAATAAAATAAAAAATATTACACACACTACCATGTATTTGACACAACACATACATAGTAGTACATAAAGATACTTTTTATTTATAGTCACTTGTCAAACTTTTGTTATTGTTTAAAGTCTGTGGTCAAATTGAGAATAGATTAATATTGTTTGTCTTTAATATTATTTGTCTATAGTGTAGTCTTGGCCAAATCTGTGAATATAGATAGATGTAGTCTTTGACAATAGAACCGTGATAATGTTCAAAACTTATAATTTAAATTAATTATAGTCGAGTTTCGACTACTGGGGGACCACTAGTACATTTAAAACTTCTTTCAAACCATTGTACATTTTGTATTATAATTTTATCAATACCAATATAACATAGAAATTGAAATGATCCAAATGCTAAATCAATACGGCTAAAATGTATACGTGTGACGAGAACGTCTTATACCGTTGGTAGGAACTAAGCTAGTTCTGTAACTTGAATACGTCATGCATGAAGATGAAGACACTAGAATGAGCCAAGAATATAAAGGAATTCATCATCATTATCTTGCCCTTCTCCCAGTCACCTGGGGTCGGCGCAACATGTTTTCTCCTTCCATACTCTTCTATCATATACCATTTCTTCGCTCACTCCCCTCCTACCCATATCGTCTTTCACACAATCCATCCATTTCTTCTTAGGTCTACCTCTTCCTCTAAATCCTTCCACATTCATAGTTAACATATAAGTTAACATATAAGAATATAAAGGAATTGTTTATAAGAAATGTACACTGTGGTACGAGCAAAAACATAAATTTAATAACAGTGACATTAACATTTTTGATCACATTTTATAACGATCTTTTATGTACGTAATAATCTTCGAAAACTGTTTTCCCATAAGCACAACGCAAACACACATTAAGATTTGCCGTAGAAGAAAAAATATGGAAGTGTTATGTAATGCTTTAAACTCTCATAAAGCTGGATTCACGAGGGAATGAAAATACGATCTGAAAATAAAACATCTGTGTATGTTGAGTCATGTACAATATAAAACTAAAAGTAAGGTAAACAAATGCAGACTTCAAAAACGTGAAACCAGCATCCGAAATTTACTATAATATTAGGAATAACATGGAATCATTGACGTAGATAAGCCGTATATGAGCGTTTAGAGATTTTGTTCAAATCCAGATTTGTACTATATTATTATTATTTACGATAAGCGAAGATCATATTTATTATTCAGCTTGATTTGCTTTTACATGATATGTATTTGTTTTTGAAGTTATTAGATACTGAAATAATATGGAATTGATTTAATTTTTTAAATGTGAAATTAAAATTAGAACACGACATGATGTGATCATTTTTGTACAGGCCGTTCTTAAAGCAATTTTACGAATTTAAAATATCAAAGTAAGTCGTTATCTATGGAATCGGATACATAAAATATTATTGTAAACAAATCAGTGCACGATTAATTAAATAATTAAATTATCACTTTCGTTTTGAGTTCGCGGTTTATATTGAAAGAAAATATTAGTTCCTGAAAACTAAATGGTTTTCTCCAAAACCCAACAGATTCGTTCGACACATGTTTCACGTTGCAATTTAATTTAGCTCACAGTTTTACGGTCGAGTGATCTTTAAAAAAGACAAGTCTTAAAATGGAGTGATTGAAATACATTTTTCATCTAAAACAACGTCGTGTATGATTTGAGGAATTTTAATTCGTAAAACGTATTTTAGGTTTATTTTTGAAACATAGATTATTAGTTCATGAAAGAAAAATGCAAATAATTATTGTATTTTCGTTCGTCTAGAGTAGTCATCGCCGCTCTGATTTGTCTCGTGTCATCGCCTCCCACACGACTGTATCATAATTCGCCACCAACCGACACTACGGTTACTTAGTCAATCGGTTAGTAGGCACACTCATTCAGTTTCTAGAATGTTTTTTTTTTACCTTCGCTGCGTTTTGTTTCGTTGTTGTTGACTAATGAATTAATCTATACGGCAAGAACGCCACGACTAACAACTTAGTGTAAGCAAAAAAAATACTATATATTCTTTTTATATAAACTGTAATACAATATTAAAAGTGGGCATAGTAAACGAAATAATCAATATTATTAACCGGAAATATAAAATAATTATGTATAAAATACATGTTATGCTAAATTATTTTTTTATCGAAAGCCTAAAAAAAATACAACATGAATGCTACTCGGAACATTATGTAGTAAATACAGGTCAAGGCATTGCGTTTGAAGTGAACACATTTTAAAGTGTTATAAAAATTACCGTTTAATTTCTTTGAGTCGCTCCTACTCTCATACAAACTAAAGCGCGTAGCGTAACGTAACACGTCAATCAAGATGTCAGCTGGGCACACGCATTTCGCTGCCGTTGGACAACGTGTGCCGTACCTAATTACGGTTATCGCTATATTATCATTACTGTCTAATGTATTCCATTGTTATTCTAAATTAAACACCGAAATCCAAGCCGACAAGCTACTGGTAATACACAACGATTAAGAGACTTATATTTTTAAATTTACGTTTTACTTTAAATAATTCTTTTCATATTTTTTTATACACGACAAGCCGAGTTGCGAGCCCACATAGGTAGATACCACTATCCTACCTAATTCTGCAGCCACGCTTACGGTCTTGAATGAACTTGAATTGTATCTGTTAAACAATTCAAGTCTTCAACCTCAAGTCTAATAGTGGCACCACATTTGTGATACCTAAGGGCTCCCATCACTATTTAACACTAGAAAGGCCCTCTCGCTGTGCAATAAAAAAGTCAGTTTACCCACGGCTTAGATACGAGATAAGAGATTCGTATATATCCAATAGACCCACGCAAGACTGTCTAATGATATAGTAAGCGAATTATAGGAAATAATGAATGAACGAAGGTCCCGCGGTATACCGGCATGCGTACGTCACAAAGAGGCTGAGAGGCTTACGTCACGTGTGCACACGGCCCTGGAACACGCGTAGGAAGCCGGCACCTGTCTCCACCCACGTGCTAATGTTTGTCAACCTAAATGACGGTATTGTCGTGTATTGTTGTTTTTGTTTTCATTCATTCTATTTTTTCCCGCTATTATAGCCTAAGTATCCGTATTCGCTGTGATAACACAAGCTCGTCATTTAACGGAGTTCAGAGAGTAATGAGTCCGACCCTTCGACGTAAGTAAGATTACGATGAAAAACAATTTAATTTTTCAGGATTTTCAAACGAAACAAACCAACATCCCAAAGATTTATTATTGAACTTATCATAGATGTCTTTTAATAGTTTAATAATTTTATAGTGGAAGAGTGGCCAGAGTTCAGCCGTGGACAAATGTGACATAATAATCATTCTGTAAATACACTAACATTATTCACTACTAATCGCTTGAAACACGTATCAAATGCTTATGTTTTCATTAAGGTGTATTCCAAGAAAAACAACCAGAGATTCTCCAGTGTTAAGCTAAATATGATTTGTGGAACGCACCTCGGCCGCGACAGAGTTGTGACCTAGTTACATCGTCCACAACGCCCCACAAATACGTTACTGCCAAACTGTCTTTTTCTTTAAATTTTTTTTTTTCGATACATTTTAGTATTGATAACTAGAGCGAAAGGGCTTCGACTCTTCAAACTCTGATATTCTATGACTTGAGATCGTGACTAGATGGCCATGAGCTTCAAATATGTATATACATCATATAGGTTAGGTGAATGTAATAACTTAATAAAAAACGACCAATACATAAACTTTCTGAAGCAAATTCTTCCGTTTTCGATTTCAAGTAAGGATAAGTTATATCGTCTATATGGTATCAAAATGTGTAAGATATATCTTTAGTTTTTATTGTATAATATTATATAAGTAGATAAGCTTTCGGCCTCTCTGATGTTGAGTGGTTAACCAAGTCTATAAACATTACAAAAATATTTCACAACCAACCCTAAAACATAAAATTGAAGTCTCAATTTTATGGCACGACAATTGCCCGAAATTCATGTGCGAACTTTGCAGCAGAAATAGGCAGAGCAGTGGAGTTTGTCAGTGTGTGCTAACTATGAGCCTCTCTCCACATGTACTCTTTAATTATGAATGTTTAAATTTTTCAAAAACATGCACATAACGGAATTAAAAAAACTTCGACAAAAAATTTCAAATTGGACAACTGTTTTAAATAGAATTCGAATTAGGCAATTCGGTAATAGTTTTTAATTTGTATGTACTTTGGTAAACTTTAATTATAACATATTTTTTTATTATGAGTTACAATTATACTGAATACGGATGTAATATCATCAAAATTTAAATTCAATTTTATTGTTCCAAACAAAACTTCAGAAAATAAATAAATAATAGTTAAAAAAAACTAACAAAATACGCTTTTTATAGAAAATCAAACTAAAAAAAAAAAAAAATTGAATTAAAAATAGTGTAAGAAAAAAATATTTTATTATAAAAAAGCGTGGGGTGCTTTTCAGGATATTATCAAAATAACCCTTCTACTCATATCTGTTCATAAAATATTTATAACTACTGATACCATGCAACCC